ATTTCACCTACCTTAGAAAGGATGGAAGGCTGAGTCAACCTTGAGCCTTGGAGAGATTCGAACCAGCAGTAAATTGCAGGCAGCTGTGTTAATAACAGGGTGCTTAGACCACTGTACTATCAAGGCTCTTGGCCTGGCCACAAGATCAAAATTCAGATGCTTGGCAACTGGTTTGTGTTTATGCCGCGTCCTGGTGGGACCGGAAGTTGGTAAACAGGCCATTTCGGCCTCCCGGGGGGGGGGGGGGGGGAAGAAGGCCATTTTCACCCTCCCCAGACTCCTAGAAAGGCTCTGGAGCCTGGGGAGAGAGAAAAACGCCCCCCCCCAAGGCCCTCCAGAGGCAGGAAACAACCTGTTTCCCTACTTCTGGTGTGTCCAGAAGGCCTGAAAATCAGCTGGCCGGCGTGCATATGCGTGCCAGAGCTGAGCTCACGTGCCTACCGATATGGCTGCGCGTGCCACCTGTGGCACGTGTGCCTTAGGTTCGCCATCATGACTATACAGCCTTGTCCTTCTGAAAAGGAAAATCTGCCTGAGTTACAAGTAACTTCTGATCCCATTTGCCTTCTGAGTAATCTTTGTATCCTATTCCTTTCAATGGCGGGGCTCACATGATTGATAAGAACAGATGGAAGCAAGGTTTATTAGCCTCATTGCTCAAGAAGAAAATTAATAGAACATGCCCAAATGGCATTTTTGTAAAACTAAAAATAAATGATGAGTATGTGCATTTTATATTTCACAGCTTTATTTTAGAGTTTTTTAATTTGGTAAAACAAAGGAAAGCATGTTATTTAAAATGCTATATTCAATCGCGTTCACAAAAATGAAACCAAAAACTTACAACCATTTATTCAGATGCATTCTTTCTATAGTAATACACTCAACTCTACTTATATAATAAACATTAGGTACTAATGCTAATAACTAGTAGGAGGGCCATTAGTAAAACTAATAAACAGAATATTTTTCTGTCTGCTGAAAAATTTAAATTATATATTAGTTTACAAAGTCTAATAAACGCACTCTACTTATATTAGTTCTAATTAGATTTATTATCAGAAATAGATATATATCTAATGTTTCAGCCATATATTAATATACTTTTACACAATTATGTAAGCATATTCACATCTTTTAATACTGTAATGATGATTGTAGGTGTTTATCTGATTAATGCTAAGAAATATTTCTTCTATGCAGAAAAAGGGATACAGCAGAAATATTTATAGTGCCATGATGGCGAACCTATGGCACGTGTGCCACAGATGGCACACGGAGCCATATTGGTGGGCAGGTGAGCGTTGCCCAAGCTCAGCTCCAGTGCCAGCTGATTTTCGGGTTTTCCGGTCCTACCAGAAGTTGGCAAATGGGCCGTTTCTGGCCTCCGGGGTGGGGGAGGCCGTTTTTGCCCTCCCCAGGCTCCTAGAAAGCCTCTGGAGCCTGGAGAGGGCGAAAAACGGGCCTCCCCAGGCTCCACCATGCCATCGTGTGGGGAGGTCATGCGCACATGCATGGGGGGTGGAGCACGCGTGCACGCGACCCTCCCATGGTCCTCCTGCTTTTGGATGCGACGGCAAAAAGATTAACCATCACTGTTATAGTGGAATAAAGCATTAACAAAAGCTTTTATCACGATGTTTTGCTTAGTGCTGTATTACAGCAGATACATACAGAACTTTCTCTTTCTTGCATCAGCAGAACAAAAAGAAAGCAACCTTCACTTGCAGATGTTCTGGCTATAAAAATAAACTTCACGTTAGGAACTCTTGATTGTGTATTTCAGACATACAAATTAGTATAGTGCTATTTTTGACAAATTGAACTTCTACTGTCAAAGTGGAATGCTGGAATTGAACAGGACTGAACTGTTCATTGATTTCTTATTTACATTAAGAAAGATTGGTTTGGATTTTTAAGTTTTGCTTACTCAGCTCCAAAAATTGAAAACAAAATCTAATTAAAAAAACCCTCCAAAAGTAGAATAACATTTTAATTAAGTGAAGTACAATCTATATCTAAAATGCATGGTGGCATCTAATTTCATTTTAAATATACAATATTAACTGAAATTATGATGTTTGATTATTAAAAGAAAATAAATTCTCTAATACTTTTGATCACAATAGGTACTGTAAATATTTACGAAATTTCCCCCATATGGCAAGAGAGTTCCATTATTCAGTGTAATATTGTTCTTAGAGGAACAGCTTTCTGCTCATCTAAATCTGAATCCCGGTAGTCCTCATATTGGAATGAAATTGCATTATATCGTTGACGAGGTTTGGAGGTAGGCTAATAGGAGCTGCTCATTTGATCACAAATCTAAGGGATTCAGTCCAGAATGGGTTGTTTTCCCTTATTCCCTCTCATGCTGCAGAGAAAACTGAGCAATACGACATGAGACCATGAGATGTAATCTCACTGTGTACAGCCAGGGTTCTCCATTCATCTTCTGCTACAGGATGGTCCTCCCTATAATACACTCCTCATATGGATTCCTTTAACTTCAGATACAACCTGGGGTAAGAACAAGGCTAAAACAAGGAGAGATACACCTTATAAACTGAGATGCTGTATATCTCATAAATTATCAAAGGTTTCAGCAGCCAAAATCTCTCAGCTTCAAATATTAACGACGTATCATTCTCTAAGAGCAATAATTCCCTTCAATCTGTTTTAGGCTATTCTGTCATTCCTTTTATTTAAGTAAAGATCTTTCCTAATACCTCAACATTCCCAGATATTGAGGAATCTGGAGGTATTTATCAGCATTTCACAGGCCTAGGATGACCAAATCTCACCTCAATGTCACTCTATCATAATCTTATTCTGTTTCCTTGTAACATAAAATAGTCCAGAAAACATCTAGCAAACAGCAAAAGCCACAAACATAGAGATATCACACAAAATTAAAGTAAAAAGGTAAAGGTTTTTCAATCAAGCTCCATTTCTACAGCCTTCAGATCCATTCAGGACTATCCAATCCTGACCTGCTTAGTTTCCTCACCCCAGCAGGGGGCTGCCATCCCTTAAGACCACCATCAAACATTAGTGATTACTGGCATTTACATGAAACAGATGACTATTCAATTATCGGGAAAGAGCTGTTGGTTGTTTGGGAAAAGAAACCCAATTCAGGTAACAGAAGGACCAAAAGATGGAATAGTCAAAAGCAGACACCAAGACACGAGGGTTATTTTCCCATTAGTGACTCACAGTGTTTTATAGGAGCCAGACAACTGAAGATGGGCATCCGAGGTGGTCAAAACGGTCAAAATGACAGCCTTGCCAGAATAAGACCTCCCTTCTTTGCTGGGGGCACAGCGGCCACCTTGGTGTGTTTTGGCCCACCTTTGCAGATAGCTCAAGGTCTGGAGGCTCAATCATATGATGAATGGGTCAAGGAACTAAGGTATGTCTAGGCTATTGAAGAGAACGCTTAGGGAGAGAATAATAGCATCTTCCAATACTTGAAGGGCTGTCATAGGGAAGAGAGCATCAATTTATTCTCCACAGGACCTGAGCAATGGGTAGAAGCTCATTAAAGGGAGATCCAACCTAGGACTAAGGAGGAATTTCCTGACAGTGAAAACAATCAGTGGAACAGCTTTGCATCCTGGAGTTGTGGCTGCTCCATCTATGGAGGTTTTCAAGAAGAGATTGGACAACTATTTGTCTGGGAAGGTATGAGGACTCCTGCCTTGGGCAGGGGTTGGACTAGAAGACCTCCAAGGTCCCTTCCAGCCTTATAATCAGGAGTCATCTGAACCACAGAGTGAACAGATACTAAATTGCATCAACGGAGTCGTTTATGAAGAGATTGGACAGCCATTTGTCCTGGATGGCATAAGGACTCCTGCCTTGGGCAGGGGGCTTGACTAGAAGACCTCCAGGGTCCCTTCCAACCCTAGGATCAAGAGACATCTGAACAAGTACTAACTTGCATCAATGGAGGGTTTTATGAAGAGACTGGACAGCCATTTGCCCAGAATGATACAAGGTCTCCTGCCTTGGATAGGGGGGTTAGACTAGACGACCTCCAGGGTCCCTTGCAGCCCTGGGATCCTGCCAGCTCTATTATATTATATTATATAGGGTTTTTTTTAATGAAGAGATTGGACAGCCATTTGTCTGGGATGCTATGAGGACTTGGGCGGGGGGGGTAGACTAGAAGACCTCCAAGGTCCCTTCCCGCCTTATAATGAGGAGTCATCTGAACCACAGAGTGAACAAGTACTAAATTGCATCAACGGAGGCTTTTATGAAGAGATTGGACAGCCATTTGTCCTGGGTGGCATAAGGACTCCTGCCTTGGGCAGGGGGCTAGACTAGACGACCACCAGGGTCCCCTCCAACCCCTGGGATCCTGCCAGCTCTATTCTATATGATATAGGGTTTTTTTTTTTTTAAATGAAGAGATTGGACAGCCATTTGTCTGAGATGCTATGAGGACTTGGGCAGGAGCGGGGGGCTAGACTAGACGACCTCCAGGGTCCCCTCCAGCCCCTGGGATCCTGCCAGCTTTATTCTATATTTTACAGGGTTGTTTTTTTTTTTTAAAAAACGAAGAGATTGGACAGCCATTTGTTTAGAATGGTGTTGGATCTCCTGCCTTGGGCAGGAGAGGCGGGGGGAGAATGGGGCTCGACTAGAAGACCTCCAGGGTCCCCTCCAGCCCTGCTGCCTGCGGCCAGAAGGAAGGCTGGAGGATGCTCGGAAAGGGGAGAAAAAGGGCCGGGCCAAAAGCGCAGGGGCTGCTGCGGGTAAAGAGAAGGGGCTGCGTTCAACCCCCCCACCCCCCCCACCCCGGGGAGCCCCCTCCCCTCCCCCTCAGGGCCAAGCGAGCCTCCTCAGCGCCTGACTGACTGACTGGGGGAGGAGAAGCGGCGCTGAGGGGGCAGCTGAGGCGCCTTTTCTCCCTCACATCACCTCACAACATCAGGGATTCTCGGGGCTCCTTCCAAACCCGCTCCGTGGCCGGCCTCACACACACTCACCCTCCGCCCTGGACCGCAGCTCCGACACGGTCTTCTGAACGGCGGGCATCTCTCCTTTCTCTCTCTCTCTTTATCGCCTCAGGCGGCCGGCAGGCGCGCTCCCCTCACAAGGGCTGAGGCGACTCTTCTCTCGCGCGCGCGCGCTCTTTCTCCGCGCGTGCGCGCTCCCTTTTCTCTCTCTCTTCCCCTGAGGGAGACCCCCCGCGGCTTTGCGGTCGCGAGACCACCTCTCGGGACACCTGCGCCTGCGCGCCGGGGCGAGCGCGCGCGAGCGAGCGAGCGCTTTCTGGCTTCGCGCGCCCGTCCCTCCTTTTTTTTTTTTTTTCTCTTTCCTTTCCCTCCCTCCCTCGACTGGAATGTACCAACTTCCTTCAGAGGGGGGGGAAGGAAAAAAAAAAGCCCTTTTCGACCGGCCTTTGAGGCGGCGCACGGTAGGACAAAGAGACGTGCTTCTGCCCTTCACGCCGCGTGGTATGTATGTATATGTGTGCGTGCGTGGAATCCTTCTTTCCTCCACCACCCCCGACTTGACAAAGCCGACCGACTCCCCTGCGCTTTCAAGGATCGATAATGGAAGAGGCCGGATTTGAAGCGGGGCGGAGCCTGGCAAGAAAAGGGGCGGGGCGGAGAGTATAAAAAGCCGGGCGGTGCGGAGTTTACCGGCATTTGCTGAATGGAAGGCGGGTGGGAGTCTTGGGGTGGGAGGCGGAATCAAACTTGAGAGATAGTTGTTTTACTTTGTCCTGAATGCAACCCCCCCTTTTTTTTTAAAGTTATGAAAACCTTTGAGCCTTTTTGCACCCTGTAAGGATCTGGTAGAGCCTGGATGGGAGACCACCAGGAAATCCCAAGGCTCAACCAAGGAGTTTTGTCTCTTCTTGCAAAGTGCTACAGACGTTTAGATTATTTGAAAATGCAAAGGAATCTTTGCAGCCTTCTACATCTTTCCAACATAATGTAATAACTGCCTGCAACAATTTTTATTTTTTAAAAAAATTGATTTATATGCTGCCCTTCTCCAGAGACTCAGGGCGGCTTACAATGTGCTCAGCAATAGCCTTCATCCTTTTTGTATATTTATACAAAGTCAGCTTATTGCCCCCACAAACTGGGTCCTCAATTTACCTACCTTAGAAAGGATGGAAGGCTGAGTCAACCCTGAGCCTTGGCGAGATTCGAACCTGCAGTAATTGCAGGCAGCTGGTCTTAATAACCAGCTTAATAACAGGGTGCCTTAAACCACTGTACTACCAAGGCTCTTTATTGTAACAATGAAGTTACAATGATGGCAGCAAAGGTCACCGATTCTGGGCTGTTGAAATATATATTTTTTTAAAAAACATACATGTACGGTAATTGTCCTATGAGTACTGAGCAGTAGCCTGAACTTGGTTACTCTCTTCTGCAGGACGTGATCGCACAAGTCCTGTCACACACGGTTATATTAATGGTTATTTATTTATAAATATTATTTGTAAAAATAAAGACAGGAAATAGAGACACAGACAGGTTATATAAAATTGATATAGATCAATAGATGAGAGATTGGTAGGTAGAGATAGAGAGAAATTGAAATAGAGATTTAGAGATAGAGGTAGCTAGAGATAGATAATGGTAGATAGAGATAGAGATAGATAGATATATAATGATATAGAGTCTATATCTGTTTGCCTGCCTCCCCGCTTGTCTGCTTGACTGCCTATCCATTCGTCCACTCATCCATCCATCCATCCTATCATTTCTCTCTTATCATCATCTATCTTTTATCATCTATCATTATCTATCGGTGTCTGTCTATAATATAGACAGACACAGATAGATAGATAGATAGATAGATAGATAGATAGATAGATAGATAGATAGATAGAGATAGATAGATAGATAGATAGATAGATAGATAGAGATAGATAGAGATAGATAGATAGACAGACATAGACAGATACCCTGTTTCCCCCAAAATAAGACCTCCCCTGATAATGAGCCCAATCGGGCTTTTGAGTGCATGGCAATAAGGCCAAGTGCTTATTTCAGGGTTCAAAAGAATATAAGACAGGGTCTTATTTTTGGGGAAACACGATAGGTAGATAGACATGGTAGGTAGGTAGATAGATAGATAGATAGATAGATAGATAGATAGATAGATAGATAGATAGATAGATAGATAGATAGATAGATACTGGTCGAGATTGGTAGATAGATAAGATGGTGGTTGGTAGATAGGTAAGTAGATTGGTAGATACTGATAGATAAATAGATACTGGTAGATAGATACTGGTAGATAAATAGATACTGGTAGATAGATACTGGTAGATAGGTAGATAGATAGATACTGGTAGATAAAGATAGATAACGATATAGTTTTTTTTTTTTTTTTTAAATTGATTTATATGCCGCCCTTCTCCGGAGACTCAGGGCGGCTTACAGTGCGTTAAGCAATAGCCTTCATCCTTTTGTATATTTATACAAAGTCAGCTTATTGCCCCCACAAACTGGGTCCTCAATTTACCTACCTTGGAAAGGATGGAAGGCTGAGTCAACCATGAGCCTTGGCGAGATTCGAACCTGCAGTAATTGCAGGCAGCTGGTCTTGATAACCAGCTTAGTTAAACAGATAATAGACTGATGTTAGAGGTAAAGGGAAATGATAGGATGGATGGATACATAAACTGTCAAGCAGCAATTACTCAGCATACTGGCTTACAATCATTTTCACAGAAGTGCTGGATAATACAGCTGCATCACCCTGTCATTACTGTGGTGACATGTCACTAATGAGGGCAGGCAGGCCCAGCCATCCACGAGAAGCCATAAATCACTCTTGTGGAAATGTCCCTACCTACCCACTATCAAAAGTGTGGTTCTGTGCCGAATCATCACAACGGACAATCTTAATAAGTAAATGGCTTTGGCAGTTGCCGTCTTGTCTTGCTCAGCAGGATGAAATCCTTGGTAAGGGAGTAAAAGCTCGCCTTGCATCCGACTACATGTTTATCAGCATAAACAAATCTAAAAGTGTTCTCCGGACAAAATAAATATTGGTTTTAAAGGTTACAGGTTTTTTTTTTTTACCCGCAAGTTTTGTTAGGAACACAGATGGATGTCCGATAAATTCTCAAAGCAAAGAGAATGATTTATTAAAAAAAAAAAAGGAACAAGACAATTCTTAGAAAAACAATGCACTCTATTTTCCATTATTTCTCTCTGCTGATCTTTGCTGATCATTATTGCTCTGTCCTGATCGTTACTGCTCTTTGCTGTGTTTGCTACTGTTTCCATACTGTTTATTGTGTATGACTACAACAACTGGTAAGAAGACTTTGTTATTGGAATATCCCTGGACTATTGCTTTACTATCTACTGCTTTATCTGTGTACGACCTGGACTGTTTATTGGACGGTGCCTTATTACTATTTCCTAAAAGTAAACACAACTCGGTGTATCTCTGTGTTGGCTGTGATTATTTGCAACTGCTCTCAGTCGCTTTCATGTGCACACCCTTGCTACTCTAGGGTTGCTCTGCGAATTCCTCAACAAACAAGACCACAGTGTCAGCGTTTCGACGCTGGCATAGAGAGCAGAGGAGAGAGAGAGATAAGCTCTGAACTTTTGCCTGCTAAATCCCTTTGAAGTCGGGTTGTCGTGGAAATGAAGGGGGGAGACTTTCCTGGGAAATGACGAGACAAGAAGTCTGAAGAATGACTTGGAAGATAGCCAATGAGAAACAGAGATTTGGGGATCGGAAAGGGAGGGATTGGGGGGCAAAAGGTCAGTCTTGTCCGCATCGAGTCATGATCCGGTGGCTGTGCTCAATTAAAGAAAAGATTTCCTTAAAGATTGGCAGTTTGAAAATTCATTTATTTTGAGATAGCATCGAAGTCTGACACACAGATTCTTTAAAAAGGGAAAACTTTTTAAAGTATTGTTCTTTAAATTATGGTCCAGGAATACAACACCTTTCCTTAGCTTCTGTCATCTGGAATGCAGCGTTTCGACTTGTTAATACTTCCAATTCTGGAAGAATACGGACATTTAAATGAAAAGATTTGCAATGTATTGATAAGGGTTTTTTTTTTTTTAAAAAACTCTAATATTTATTTATTCACATTTCTGAATCCTCCATCTCCCTCAAAGAAAACTCTTACATAATAAGAGTTTGATGAGCAGTGAACAGCCATTTAGTTGTTTTTTTTATAAAATTGGGGGGAAAAAAATAGAAACGTCTTACTTGGAATTGTTAGAAATGCCAAGATAATAATGCCAAGAGGTTATTGTCGTTTTCTTGCCATCCTTTACAATGTTAAAACATGAGGGCATCCTTTGAAATTAAATGCAGAAAACTTAAAAGTAGCGGTCAGCATGATACAGAAAAGATGTGGAGACTCTAGAAAGAGTGCAGAGAAGAGCAACGAAGAGGATTAGGGGACTGGAGGCTAAAGCATATGAAGAACGGTTGCAAGAATTGGATATGTCTAGTTTAATGAAAAGAAGGACTAGGGGTAGCGGTGAAATCCACTTATCTTCGCTACCAGTTTGGGAATGAGAGCGTGCGTGCACCTCTTCTGTGCATGCGCAGAGGGCCAAAAACAGGACGTAATGATGTTCTGGCGGGTGGGCGGAGTCTCCAGCCACCAGTGCTACCAGTTCGCGCGAGCCGGATAGATCCAGCTGGATTTCACCGCTGGCTAGGGGTCACCTGATAGCAGAGTCTTCCAATATTTCAGGGGCTGCCACCAAGAAGAGGGGGTCAACCTAATCTGTAAAGCATCAGAAGGCAGGACAAGAAGCAACGGGTGGAAACTCATCACGGAGAGAACCAATCTAGAACTAAGGAGGAATTTCCTGACAGTGAGAACAATTAACCAGTGGAACAACTTGCCTCCAGAAGGTGTGAATGCTCCAACACTGGAGGTTTTCAAGAAGAGATTGGACAACCATTTGTCTGAGAAATGGTATAGGCCCATGATGGTGAACCTGTGGCACGCAGAGCCATATCTGTGGCATGTGAGCATTGCCCTAGCTCAGCTCCAGTGCGCATGCGCATGCCGGCCAGCTGATTTTCAGGCCTTCTGGGCCCACTGGAAGTCGGGAAATGGGCGATTTCCGCCCTCCGGAGGGCCTCCAAGGGAGATGGAGAAAGCCATTTTTGCCCTCCCCAAGCTCCTAGAAAGCCTC